AGGGGAACTTAGCAGGGCCTGCTTGTTCAGATTCTTCTTGGCTTCCAGATATAAGGTAGGACTCCCCTAGAATGAGGACCTTATGACTTACTTGCAGAATTTCTTAATGATCATGCTTCAGGGAAGAAAGGTGGGAGAAGGTGAGGGTGTTTTTGCTTCTGCTGTTTACTTAATCACCACAGTCATCTTTTGGGGTAACGTGTTCTGAGCTCCGACAAGAAAAACAGCAACATAATAATAACTATTATTTATTAGATACTCACTGAATAGCAGGGACTATGTCAAGCATTTTATACTGATTATCTCATTTAACTCTCATGACACCTCTGTGGATGTATTCTTACTTTAAAAATAAAGAAACTAAGACACTGAGAAATTACGCAAGTTATTTCAAATGACACAATTAGCAAATGGCAGCATGAAATTCAGCCCCTTTGTCTGTGACATAAAAGCCTATTTTTTGGCCCCTACATCATTGCTGCCAACTTTTGACAGCAAGTCATGCCTTTTAACCTGGGGAGAATCTTAGTAGTACATGTTTTAGCACCTCACAGAGATAACACTAAATTTAGGCCACTGACAAGAAAACAATAGGTTAAAGTCACAGCATGAACATTCACCTCACCAAAGGCAAACTACACAATCTGACCAATGTCTAACCCTGCATTTGTAAGGAAATATTTATGTAAAAAAAAGAGGTTTACATTTGTCAACAGAGTGTTTGGCTCAGTCATTTAAATTCACAGAGAGGATAAGCAGGAAAACTTTCTCTAAAGGTGTGTGACAACTGAGAGGCCACAGAACATGCACTCTGTGGTATACAGCAAATAAGCCCAAGACTGCAAAGGCAAGAAGTCTGGGCAAGCTCCCTGTTTAAATGAATAGCATGTGTGAGCTGTGATGACCTTGTCACTCCCACCTCACCACTCCCTTTGTCAGAGGCCTTCAAACTAGAGCAGCATTCAAACTAGAATGACTCCATCTTGAGTGAGGCCTAGGAAAATGAGGCTGGGGCTTGCTGGACTTCGTTCCCAGAAAGGTATACCTAGCCTCTAAATGTTTATAGTTAAGGGAAAAGATGAATAATATTGACTAAACAGACCTAGATTTGGTAGTGTCCAGATATTCTGATACCTTGAGAAAAAAGGCATTTCTAATTTTGCTTTAAAGATAATAATATTGATTCTTGACAAACACAGTAATTAAGAAAATTAATCCTTTATTGCAAACCCTTGCAGCAGAGCCCGTCTCTCCATTGTAAGAGTTAAAGAGAGAGGAAAGAAACACGAGGAGCAGCTAACAGTCAAAGACAGGCTTATTCTGGAGAATAAACCTGGGAGGGGCTTCTGGCCTATTTCAGTCAGGAGCACTCTCTCTTACAGACTAAGAGTATTTATTGGTGAGAGAGCTTGGAATGTTTCTATGTGGGGGAGGAAAAGTTTATGGAGCAGAGTTTATCTCAGGGCAGGCATGTCTCTGGTCGGGGAGGGGTTTGGAATGTTTCTGATAGGAGATATCATTTGTGGTTTATGGTCCATTAGGCTTATGCCCTTTGGATTTAGGCAGTTTTGTATCAAGGTGAAATTTAAAATAATAGCACTTGTCCCAGATGGCAATGCTCCTGCTCTGTCACCCATGACCTTTTTTTTATCCTACATATATATAAGCATTGTTACCCAGAATGAATGTGTTCCTCCTCTTACTTTTGGGCACACCCCACTCTGTCTGCAGAGTAGCTGTTCTTTCACCACTTTACTTTCTTAATAAACTTGCTTTTGCTATGCACCACAGACTTGCCCTGAGTTCTTTCTTGCATGAGATCCAAGAACCATCTCTTGGGGTCTGGATTAGAACCCCTTTCCTGTAATACTTTCCTTGATGCCATAGATGAGGAATAAGAGGCAGACCTTGCATGTGAGAGCAGGTACTACTATTGCCTTGCAAGAGAAATAAAGGCATCCATATTCAAAACAATAGCAAAGGGAGTACTCAATAATGCTTACCAAACATGCACAGGACTTTATAGGCACTTTGCAAGGGAATGTAATGTTTGCTTTGTCTAGATAAATTATCATAATGAGGCCAGAGAATCTTTTCATTGTGCCCCAGCAATAAACATTGCACTCTACCAATTACAGAGATACAACATGTTTTTTTCTGGTTGCCATGAGAAGAACTGATGAGATTTTTAAACATTTTAATGCACATTCCTCAAGAAAGAGTCCAGAAGCCTTCCAATCAATTTCATGGAGGAGTCAGGGGAAGGGCAGGGGTGAGGATCACTTTCTCTTTACAACTGGAAAATGTTATTAAAATATTTATAACAAAAATACCTAAGAGAGGACACCTAACTTCTCACTCCTCTATGTCATCATTTTTATGCCTCTGCTATTATTTTGTCACTTTGGGTAGGAAAAAAAAATATGACATAGTAATATAATTTATGTATTTTGGAAATGTAATTTTTCAGTGAGGTTTGGATTTTTTAAGAATTCAGTTGAAAGGAATATGGCAATGATGCTTTAAAGGAATTTGTTCTACCACCATTCTGTAATATTGAGATCTGGAGTGTTTTCACTATTTTTAAATTAACATCTCTTCTGAATTCTATCCCTTTATTTTCTTTAAAAGGAAATCACTTTAAGGTCCACATATATTCAACAAATATTTATCAAAAGCCTACAAATTAGAAAGCATTATATATAAATGCAGATATTCTTCAATTCAAACAGAACTTACTGTTAAGCAAAAAAAGTAAAATAAATAGCCAAAGCTATAATGCTAAACAGCCCAAGGGAAGTGCTATTTGAATGACAGAAACTGAATACCTATGAGAATTTCAGAGTTTTAATTTGGCTTCAGAGTTATTAAGTGACCTTATAAACACTAGAGTGCAGTGAAGTTCAAGGCACTTTAGATGAGAAAAGTTCTTTGTTTTAAAGGTCCTAGAATGGAAATTTCTTGGTATTGCAGAACTACTAGCATTTGTTTACTATTAAATCACTTTGACCCAGTTACACTGCAAAGTTACCATTGTCCTTTGTCAAAAGACCAAATCCTCACTCAACATTAAGAGAACATCTCTTTCTTAACATGAGTGGTTAATTAAATGCTATGAAGAACATGTAAGAGAATCTAGAAAGAAAACAGTTAACTTTACAGATGAGATGGTGAAGCCCAGATAAGTGAAGTGAGTTATGGACAGAGAGGACACTGGCATCCTGTTTTCTAATTTCTTAAACTAAGTGTTAGTTCCAACACACTATCTTAATTATTAAGTGGTTCAAGTTTATTTAGTCATGGAAATACTGTCTATAGGTGTTTTTGCTTTGATCATATTTGATTATTCGTTAACTTGTTTTACAACTTGTGTGTCTATTTCGGGGATAAAAACGTGAATACAGTGTCCTGAAAGTAAGCCAAGGGATAAAGAAGCTTAGCATAAAACACAAAATAACTGCTTTGACTCATATTTTATGAAACCCACAAATCTGTCTTTCATACAGGAGTTGATGTCTTATTATTTTTAGGTTTTAAGAACCAAATCCCAAAGAACAATAGGGACTTAATTTGACTTTGTTGTTGATGCTAATTTAGAGATCCTCACTTGCCCATGAAACACTCCCAGAGTTCACATGTCATTTGCACATGAAAATCATCTGTCAAGTCCACTAGATCAGGTTTAAGCATTCTTCAAACCTGCTCTTTATACAAAAACAGCCTATGTTAATCTCTCTCAGAACACCCTATGTCATACTATTCTTTAATTTGACAGTTCTCTCAATTCGTGACAATATCATAATTTGAAATTATATGCATATGGGTGTGTGTGTGTACATATATATATATATATATATATAATTTGTTTACTCATTAGTTTAATATCTGTCATAGCTCTGTGGGGAAAAATAGTCAACTTCGTACCAATTTTATCTTCATTCTGGCACCTAGTGGTTATTCAGTAAATATCTTTTGAATGAACAAGTGATTATTGATTGGGTACTATTCTGAAAATGGAAATTGATGAATATTCTTAGATTTTGGCTAGGTACAATTAATAAAAAAAAAAAAGGAGTACCATTATAATACATACCACGAAGATTTTTTTAAGTCTGTTATTATTCATTTGTTTTAGGTTCAAGTGATAAAACACAACAGTTTTAGGGTCAGGTGATAAAACACAACTTAAACTCATTTAAACAAATGTCTTACAGGGAAGTCCAAATTTACACATAAAATAAGACAGAATGTAATTAAATGCCAAAATGTTTGTTACACATAATAAGAGCTGTACAATCCTAAGAAGGAGAGAAAAATTGTCTACCCAAAATGTTAGCAGAGCATGTAGAGTAAGAAAACCTAAAATGGGTTTTGAAGATTAAACAGAAATAAGGATAAAAATGGGGAGAGAATACTCTCATTAGAGATTACAATAAGAGCATAGTCATTGTGGAAAGTGTAAAGAGACAAGACTATTTTGAATAGAGTGAGAACTTAATTGTGACAAGAATCTTGACATCCAAAATCAAGAGGGAGGAACAAGAAAAAGAAGGGGCATCAAGGAACTAAAATTTCAAAAAGTTGTCTACAAATGTCTGAGAAGATTAATTTTATGAGACTCTATTATAAAGTTAAAACATACTTACATACTAAGGTTAGAAACTATTTATGGTTTCTGATTTTACTAATCTTAAAAATTTTACTAAAACACTATTCTCTGAAAACTGTGAATTTTAACAATGTTTTAAGCTGCAGTAGCACACGGTGCTCTGTGTGGATCCAATATGATAATCATAGAAATTTTAAAAAGCAACCTTTGACTATTGAGGCAGGATTAGAAAAAAAACATTGTACAAAGGTCTGAAAGACTTAAGGGAATCGATGCAATTAAGAAGAAATGTTGATATTAAGCTTACTAAGCATACGAATCATTCTTTTGCTTCCTAAGGTGACTCCCCAAGTCATCTGACATTTTATCCTTATTTTCTTTTTAACTTCAGGGAGAAAAATAAAGCTGAAGTTTGAGCTTCCCACTCACCATCAACAAAATTATCAGCATTTTCCATCAACTATGTGCCATGAATCCTTCCCTCTCTGCTAGACTTTTCCCCCAAGCATTTTAAGGTATTCAACTCTCTAATTTTATTCATAAAATCAAAAACAAAGTTAAATCTTCTCAAAGTCCGCTTCTGCCTGCTGTCTAGTTCCTCTCCTTTCCTCCTCAGGCAAGTGGCTTTAAAAAGTAGTGCTCACTTCCCATTTAATCCTGAATTTGCTGTACTCAGACTTTGCTTCCAGCCTCCACATAAACTGTTCTTGGCAAATGATCTCAGCATCACCTGTGATCCCTCCTTCACCTCATTCAGACCTCAGCTGGAATGTGACTTCTCCACAGAGCCCTCCCCCATGTCCCTCTATGTTCACTTTTCCTGCTCTACTTTTCCTCAAAGTACCCATCCTTCCCTAAATTTGTATGACTTGGTAATTTGTTCAAGTCTGGCTCCCCACCAGAATATGCACCCACAAAAGCAAGGACTTTGCCTTTCGCCTCTCTTTATTCCACCCAAGGTATAGACATCAGCAGACACTAAACAAACATGTGTTGAATTATTTTTACTAAACCCAATCAAAACTTTACGATTTTGACTTACTTTGCTACAAATTGATAACCTGCTTCTTTTTAAACATGCTTCTCTCATAATTTCAGTGATGATTGTTCTTTAATGCCTTTCTTCCTTTATTTTTGTTTCATCCTTCCCATCCTAATGCAAGGAGGTTTCTTTTTTAACATCCCTAAGGAATGGTTTGGTCTTTGGTGCTCTTTGTTAGTCACTGTCTCCAACTCCTTCCTGCAGTCTTACTTGCTTCCATGGCTTCAGTTATTATGTACACATTCTATGACAATTTTATTTATTTATTAAAATGTGGGTTTTTTTACATCTCTACCACAGAACTCTCTCTTTAATTCCACAAGAATGTCTTAGATGGGCTACTGATGCCTCCCCATGGAAACATATGAAACTAAAGAAACACATTTGCTCTCCTCTTTGTTTCCTGGGTATTCCCTAAACCTTTAATTTATATTTATTAATTCATCGAGCTACCCACTCCCTTAATCCTGCCTGACCTTCAAGCATTATGTGTTTTCAATTCTGCCTCCTCAGTAGCTCACACATGCAGTCACTTTTTCTTTATTTTTGCTGAACTAGTGTTACTTCGAGCTCTAATGTTTTTTTTCCTAGATTCATGACACAGACTTCTACTTTGTCTCCTTGCCTATCATAATGCCTGAAACCCTAATTAATCTGCTCTTTTGGTTATTACAATGACAATTTAGAAAGTCAAGACAGCACAATATAAAAAGCCCACGATGGTATCTTCTTTAGCTCCCCACACTGCTGCTGGGCAAATGCCCAGTGCTTGTTCCCATCACTGTTCCTTCGCACTGTTCCTTCTACCTTCTGGAATGCTTTCCCCTATCCTTTCCTGTTGGCCTGCCTAATTTTACTTATCTTTTACATCCTGGTTGAAATGTCACTTCCTTCAAGTTTCCTCTTCCGATGGCTACACCAACCTCCACATCTAAACTTGCGTTTGCTGGCACTCCAATGTGTTCTCATAGCTTCCTGCTCTACTTGTCATAGGTCCATTTGTATTCAATTTAATATTACTTTAAAATTGTGATTTACTTGCCTGACATCCTATACCAGTAAGGTAATACTAGCTGCAGAGAAAAACCAGCCCCAAATTTCAGTATTTTAACACAATAAAAGGATTATTTATCACTCATATAACAATCTTGTCAAAGAAAAAACTAAGTCTTAGATAAAACTAACAAAGCCTGTTTATTCATAAATTTGAGCAAGAGAGCCGATTTACTATCACTTTCTCTTCAGCTGGGGTTCGAAGGTGTCAGAAAGGAAAGTAAATTTAAACATGTATAAAGAAGGAACAACAGAGAAAATAATTTAAACATATATAAAATTGGGACAATTTCTGTTTGGCAAGTATTTTATTAAAGTATTTTGGAAATAGAAGAGGCTTGCTGATTTCCAGATACATCTGGTGGCCCTTGTATGGTTGCAGGACACAATTGAACAGTTTGTGGACATTTTTAAAAAGGATCGTCAATGTTTAGGAAGGTGGTTGTGTGAGTGTGTGTGTGAGAGTGTGTCTGGCCATTTATTATAACAAATGGAAGTGCATGGGGTGCTTTTTGTGGTTAAACTGTCATCATGGTCCTTAAGTTGTAGTTGCCATGGCAGGGAGTTTCTCTGTCCAAAAACAGTTTCCCTGGTCATTGAATGGTTTTCTTTACTGTGATGATGTTGGGATGTAAGCTCCTTCTTTGTATGACCCAACTATCTTCTAGCTGTAAGGAGGTTAGATGGAAAGAAATGGCATCCTACCACTTAAAAACACCAAATGGGGACTAATAAGCATTGCTTTTATTCACATTCTATAGGTAAGAATCTAATCCTATGGATATAACTGGATACAAAGGGTGCCAGGAAACATAGTACTAGCTGGGCAGCAACCTCCTGGTGACTCATTCTCACTAAGCCAGGGGGAACATCAGTTCTGGGTGAACAGTTTATAGGTACCATCTCTGCCACACATTCCCAACCGGTTTTTAGTTTTATAAGAGGAAATACTATGTATTTCCACTGACTGGCAAAGGGACAATGCCATGTGTTAGTTGATCAAAAAATAGTGCTTGGATGATTAAATCAATAAATGTTCGAATGGCTCTATCATCTGAAAACTCAGAATCACTAAAATTGCCTCTTTCTATTCTTAAAGTTTTACTCAAGCAAATTATGGTTAATGGTAAAATAAAAACATACAATTTATGGATATAAGGCATCATTCTGAAAGCTAATACCGAATAACCTTGTATTTGCAAAAAATGAATCTGAGAATAAACACTATAGATAGTAAATATCAAATAAACAAATAGCATGTTTTGAACGAAAATCAATATTATAAAATGAATTAGAAGAAAATTTCCTCTAATAAGTGTACTTTGGTTACATACTTGCCAAAGGAATCTTCCTAACATTTTGAAAAGGCTACTCATAAGGGTCATAGATTTGCTCTTAATAGCCAACTAAAAGTACATTTTTCTTAAACTTTGAGCTAATTTTTCAGGCAAGAAGATCATTCTTAATCATTTCTATTTGTCACTTGAAGATATTTCTAAAATAAAATTGTCAAAACCAAAGCATGAAATAAATATCATCACATCACCTAGTGAAAAATATAATAAACAACTTTCCAATTAGTTTTAGAGGTATTCAGGAATGAATTATCCTCTGCTTTCAGGTTTCATGAATAATTCAAATTCAACTGTCAGTCGACCTAATTAGCAATTATCTAAACTATTTCTGAATTATCTGGTTTGAAGCTACCTGTGTTACAGTTAGGTTTATTTCTGATATAATTATTAACCCCATCCGTGTTGGTCTTGTCTCTTTTTCTGTTTCTCGTAATGGAACAGGCATTTCCAGAACACAGAAAAACCTGCAGATTCAGTTTATTAATGTAGCATTACCAATTAGCTCCTCTAGTGCCAAGAGCTGACAGCATATACCAGACAAGGAGATATTTTAAGCCCTTAGAAATGCCTGTCTTACATTCTACTGATTTAACTATATCAACCACAGAAAGAGAAAGCTGGCCTTAAAGGGAAAGATGAAATGCTGGAGTTGATCTGATGGAAGGTTAGTGAAGCAAAAGGACTTACTTAAGGATTGATTGAAACATATTCAGGTGATTGTAGAGGCCCCACATGCTTGGACACTCTTCTCCATGTGAACCATGAAAGTAATTGAACATATTCAGTGCCAATTTGATACAAAGGACATCCGTTAAGCTCAAATTTAATGCTGGATTATAATACCCAGAATTATGTTTCCTTTGTATTTTAAATTGCAGTATATCTCAAATTGTACATTTCTTATCAACGCTATTTAAACTAAAAAATACCTCCTCCTTCAATAAAACAAAGTTTAAAAAATAAATTGTAGCATCCCTATCCCCCAAAATCCTGAAACCTCAAAATTCTTAACAAGTCTTGAGATAAAATATAAAATAAAATTATAATTGTGATGCAAAACCTTCTTCATTAATGGTTCCAACTGTATCATAAATTCTGGGATGGAAATTGTAATTAATCATGCACCTATTCTCTGATTTCATTCTACTTGTTCCTAGAAAGGGGAATTAGCTGAAATTGCATTACCTTTCTCTTCTTAAGTCTTATTTTTTTCTACTGGAAGCTTTTAGAAATTATAACACTCTATGCTATTCTTTCAAAACTGTCAGAAGCATTTACTTTTAACATGCAGGAGTACATCATAAAATATTATTTCACATTTGCTATTTTCCTGCAATAATGTCTTTGCCTATTATTGTCATTAATAGAGTCCTCCATTCCCATACACATTCAACAACAACAACAAAAGAACTCTACTTTGTCTATTTGTTCTTTTTCCAGATTTTACTGACAACTGAGAAGAATAAAAGATGTGATAGGCTTGTGGTCATTCCTTGAGTCAGCCTGCTCAACATTTTCACTTTACAGTGTTTTTCCCCCTGTTTTGTTCTTTCTCTTGGATATATTTATAGAAACTTTTCTTATTTCCTTTGAGTCCCTTAGCAACATTATTTCATTTTGCTTTCTTACCTCACTTATTGTGTGCCTGCATTCCTTGATGGCTAACTTATATCTCTTGCTTTCAATCTCCCCTCTTTTCCATTTCCTATACAATTCTATTTCGTATTTCAGCACTTGCAGAGACCCACCCTCAACCACAGATATTTTTTAATCTTCTCTATATTTTTAACCTGTATTGGAATAGACGTTTTGAGCTTCCCATGCTGAGCTCATCTCAAAACTCATTTCTTCCCCTTTCCACCTGCCCCTAGCAAGTCAGCCACTGACTTCATTTTAACTGGTTATTTTGCTGAATACATTAATTTAAAAAGTGTTCAAGTTTAGTCACTACTCATTTCTTCAAGGACATGGAACAGGTATTTAACAATTAGTAGGGACCTATTGGTCTAAAAACAAAACAGGAATTTTACACACAACTCTATACTGTCTAACAAATAAGTGAATGGGTGATGATACAGTATCATTGCATACTAAGTCCTACTGAGTCATTGGGATAGGACTGACTTTCCTGAGCTAGGAAAACAGAAAGTCCAGAGAATCTCATCATAGATAATGATTGCTGGTCAGCTGATTGATCTAATTGACTACCTTGTGACAGTTGGCACTGTTGGTAAGGCCAACCCCAGGTTCACTTAACTTGGAACTACTTTGTAACCAATTGCTCCTGGGATTCAACAGCCCTTAGTAAATTTGTTAATGTAACCTTGATAAAGTATGGCTCTGAACTCTCAAATTGTATGTAGTATAAATATAGCTGTAGACTCGTAAAAGATGATGTAATAAAAAGAGCTTAGCCTAAAAATCAAAGTTTCAAGTAAAAAGCTTTTAATTAAACCTATAGACACATTTTCAGGTAAAAATATACCAAATATCTGACTAGTTTTGAAAATCTAAAAATGACCTGGGAGCCTAGAGAGTTTTGCTAACCAAAATTTATCTGAATATCTTAGACGTGTTCCAGGCCAGATATTTAATGATGTCTTCCCAGTAAGCATTGTGTTCTCTTAAATGAAAGAATTAAGCCCACAGAAATTAAACTAACAGCCCTGCCCTCCTAAACCAAAAGAAATACAGAAACTATATAAAAGACACTTTAGCTATAGATTGTTCTGGATCACTGGCTGTCATACATAGAAACAATGGCAAATATTATTCAAGTTACCTCGTTTCATTTGACTGGCACCACTTGAAAAAGAAACTAAATATTAGCTTCAGGGTGGCTGTTTACAAAACGTCTATCTATTTGAATCAGCTGGCAATTTAGTATCTGTCTTTCTTTCAGTTAATATCAGCTTCTCTACATCTGAACATTTTTAAAACAGGTGAAAATTGTTAGTAACTGATGGTTTTTCCCAACTATTCTTAATTTTTTTTTCAATAAAAGAATATTATGACACTTTTGACATTGTGGAACTTATAAAGATTAAATTGAAGTTAGGCCCTTCCCTCAGATACTTCCAAATTAATCACAATTGGGATAAAAATATCTGTTTTTTCAAATGCCTTCACACACCATTCTAAATTATATGTGCGTACACACACACACACACACACACACAGCAATAGTACACAGACTTTTAATATACTTTTACACATGGCCACAAGTATTTGGACAGCTGAAAAGCAAATAATCAAGAACAAATTCAAGCAAGATTTTACAG